TACCTCTCTGTTATTTCTCAACGGATCTTCTTTGAGTTTTCATTTTTGGATTCTTTGGACGAATCCCATACGGGCTCTTACTGACGTTTTTTTTTTTTTTTTTTTTTTTTAGAAATTCGTAAGTTCGTTCGATTAGTTTTAGTTTTAGCATCATTTTGTTCGAGATTCAAGATGGTAGGAATAAGGAACACATCCATTCCTTCAAAATGGCATATTAAAAAGTTTTGTGACGGCTTCCGGAAATTACCGAGGCCTTCGGATTTTTCCCGAACATGAATAGTTCTCTCCTTTTCAAATAAACGAAAAATGACATATGGTAGTGTTAGCCCTATGGCGTATGCTCGTCTTCATTAGCCCAGGTTAGGAGCAGAACAGTAGGACGTTAAACCCCATTTCATTTCATTTCATTTCATTTAGTGTTAGCGCCAGATATTATCTTTCATTTTCAGAGACCTAGCTTGTTCCATAACATTTTCAACCGTTTGGCCGCCATATTTGATTTTACAAAAAAACACCAAATCGATATTCAGCCGCCATTTTGATTCCAATTTTCGGAAACAAATGGCAATAATTCTTTGGGAGCCGATTTTTGAATTTCGATTTCGTTTACTTCCGGTTTCACTTTGAATTTTGTTCGACTTGTCAACTTCTATCTTGACATTTGTATATATGATGGATGCCCCTCATTTCTACTAACAATTAATATCAAAAAGTTCGGTCTTGAAGTACAACTTCCGGTTTTATTAAGAGTTCAAAATGACAGGTTTATCCACTTTTATAGGTATTGAATCTTACTATACTCAATAATGCATGGTGTAACTTGATTGTTGACGTGACAAGGCGTGACCTTACGTACCGAAACACATCAGTACTCCTTCGGAGTTCTAGTTATTTTATTCTATCTGCATAAAATTGAATTAGGATAGATTATGCTGGGACCATTAAATGTATATAGTGCCCGTTTTCCGTCAGTAGTAAGTCCAATACTAATGTAAAGAAAATAAAAGACATTTCACCGAACTGTACCCTCCATAGCTTAAGGTGCGGTCACACTGGGGTTTAATCTGAATTGAATTCAGAATCAAGTCTTATTCCGGATTTAGGTGTCACAATCAGTTGGGGTATAGCCCACATAGCCGTAGCCCTACTACATCGAAACATATACTGCGTTAACATAACCAGTTAAAAATCCAAATACAAAAATATGGTGTGTTCAGATCACCATACATCACGGCTGATCATTTAAGGTCTTAACCTTAGGGGTAGGGCAGCTAGGTCAGCTCCAGACATCTTGAGTCTAGTCTCTAGCATGTATTGTATGTAGTTGGATGAAAATGACAACAAAATTTATTACTTTGCAATCATTATGCATGTTCAGCGCTGAAAGAATTTTTATTATGAAATGTATCTTCCCAAGTGCAGTCAAGAGTGAAGTGCATGTACATACTTTGTTGGTGCACAGCAAACGCGACCAGAAGAGTATTCATCCTCAGTTGCCTTTGATTCTGGTGCAGACAAAAACGTGCCCGACGCGCAATGGCAAAATGCCAAAGATGCAAGACCCGGCGTCGCTGATTTAGCCTTGCTCGGCTCAAGAAATTAAGCATTAGCAACAGAACATCGAGTACGAATGACGGGCACATCCATCTTGAATATGAATGACTTGCACTTCCGCTAGTTATGCGCACTCAGTGTGGCGCGTTTCAATTTGAATTCAATCCGAATAAGCTGAAATGTGATGCACCGCGTTTAATCCGAGACAAACCAATCCGAATTCCGGAAGCCGGTCTACGGTATTCGCATTGAATGTGCATGCAGTGTGAACGCAGCTTTAGTGAGATAAGGGATCGAAATATGGCAATTTAACTAGCCGAAAAAGGGAAGGGGGTGGGGGCGTGGCTGTTTTATCGCATCGGCGCGCTGGGCGGTTAACCATACTAATCTAACACCATACTGATTATGTTGGAACACATGTTTAATTTTATCGACCATTTACATTTTTATTTCTGTAAATTGCTGTGTGGGTAGGGGTGCCAGTTCACTGCTTTGCCCGTGGGACCCAATGCTGTTAAGACGGCCCTGATAAGGGATACTAGGGCAACTGATTAATAAATTTATGTAAACAGAGCCATTTTATACCTCCAGTCTATCAGACATACTAATGTTCTAATTAATAAAATGAAAGTATTTTTTATGGCACATCAAAATTACCCCTGGGACAATTCTAACAGTATGGTAATTCAATTTTGTATAAGTGTGAGCAATTAGGCTAATTTAACTACAAAGCTAATTTTTTTATATGATTTTAAATACACTCGGGGGAGAATTTGCAGTTATAAGAAAAACATGTTAAAAATGAGAAATGCTATTACCCTCGAGCAACTGAAGTAGTAAGAACGATTAATTAACTTTTATAGTCGCTCCGATCACAAATATCGGGAGGATTAAAAACTTTCTTCAGAAATTCAAATTTCCGAATTTCAATGAGTTTCAAGTACAACACTTAAACACCCACCATAAGTACTCGTACATATTTAATCACTTAACGATAGTCTCGGGTTTTCAGAAATTTCAAAATACCTGAATAGACTTTGGGTATCAAGTCAGGAACGTTTGTTGTTGTGTCATCATCGAATACTAAAGCAATGAATTTGAAAATGGGTTTAATAACCTACTGTTTTGCACGAATCGGGATAATGAAGACAGTTTGCGTTTCTGTCAGGAATTAAACCGTGCTCACTAAAGCTATCGTTACTTCAAATAAAATCAGCGGTTGCCAGGCAAGATACGCCCAAGCTAAACACAAAAGCGTTTTTCGTACAATCAGGAGCCATAATCCAGAAAGGTAAGGTCTGAAACGCGCAAATATCGAAAGGAACCGAATCTTTGAGATATAAAGATATATTTCAAGTTTCAATAGTTTCATCAAAATCGGATAAAAATTGTGACCTCTAGAGGGTCCACAACCTTCGTATTGCATACCTTTACATAATTTGCGTACAAAGAGCGGCCATTTTGATGGGCAGTTTTGTTTCGATTTTCCCGAAATTCAAATTCAACCTTCATTATGGTGGAATGGTGATATATTTAAACAGTTTTTAAAATCAATTAAAAATCGTGACCTCGAGAGAGAGAGAGAGAGAGAGAGAGAGAGGGGAAGAGAGTTTAATGTCCATTCGACACAAAGTGCCCTCTAGAAAATCCACACGCTTAAAAACACGATTTTTTGGTTAGTTTCATCAAAAATCGGATCAAAATTGTGGCATCTAGAGTGTCCACAACATTTTAACAATATTTGCGTACGGGGGGCGGCAATTTTATTCGGCAGTTTTGGTCCGATTTTCATGAAATTCGATTTCAACCACCATTAGGGTGTAATGGTGATATATTCCAACGATTTTTTAAATCAGATAAACATTGTGACCCCTAGAGGGACCACAAGCTAAAAACACGATTTTTCGTTCAAGAGTCATAATTAAGGACGTTACGATCCGATATGCACGAATATCGAAAGTGACCAAGATCTTTGGGTTATAGCCATGTATTTCTAGTTTCAGAAAAATCGGATCAAAATTGTGACCTCTAGAGGGTCCACAACTTTGATATACCATATATTTACACCATTTCCGTACATGGGGCGGCCATTTTGTCCTGCAGTTTTGGTCCGATTTTCACAAAATTCGAACTCAACCGAGTTATAAACATGCATATCAAGTTTCATTCAAATCAGATGAAAATTGTGACCCCTCGAGTGTCCACGAGCTAAAAACGTGATTTTTCGTACAATCAGGGCCATAATCCATGAAGTTATGGTCCGATACATGCCATTATCGGAAGGAACCAAGATCTCTGGGAGATAAACTTATATTTCACGTTTCGTCAAAATTGGATAAAAATTGTGACCTGTGTGTCCACAAACAATTTGTGGACGGATGGACAGTTATTTTGATCACACATATGAAAGAGGTTTCTGAAATTCGTCGACGCTGGCAAATTCGGTGTGAGGATTGTGTTGATGTATTATTAAAGTTTAAAACTTTTATTTACGTCTGTGTGTAGGAATACGCATTGAGCTCTCGAACTTCCAATAACGTTAGAAGAATACCATCAGGGGCGCATAAACATATTTTCCCAGGAGGGGTGCGCCATCAAAAAATTGGCCCACTCAGAATTAGAAAATGAAATTGGGCCACCATAATAATATCAATAAAACACCGCCCCCTCGTGAAGCGAAATTCGACACAACAAAGGAAAATTCGCCCGCATAATCTCAAAATTCGTGTTTCCAAAATGAAGTACAAAAAGACAGTGATCATCACCATTTACATGTTCAATTTCTACTTATATGTACTGGGCAGTGTAGCTACCATGTGCACGACTTTCCTCGTTAGCACGGAGTAATTTGACTCAATAGTTGACAATATGAACTTTAGGTTTGATTGGATGTGTAAGAGACTTTGGCAAACCGACCCACTCGGCAAAAAAATCCACATCCTGTTGTGCGCCACTGAATACCATACATGTTTTTTATACGCCCACGTTTTCATGTGGAGGTATTATGTCTTCGTCCCTGTCCGTCCGCACTCCGGACGTTCGTACTTACTCGTCCGAATCTGACACTACTTTTTGGGAAGTCCTATCGAGTCTCGCTGTTTAAGTGGCAGGGTATGCTTACTCTTGCTGGGGCACCAAAACTATTTTGCTATTGGATATTCTTATTTTGACAATTCCCCATATGAAGTCCGCATTTTTTATACCATCAATACGGTTTTGAAGTATTTTTATCATTGATTACTCCTTGGAATTTAATGCAATATGTTCCATACAGCTTGACCACTAATGCTGGTCTCTCTAAGTCCGAATCTAAACATGCTTCATTAAAGATCCCAGAAAACAGTAGTCTCCAGGTTGAGGCAATACAATTATTGGTTCAAAGTCATCCCAAAATTTATTGAAGTTTTAAGGATAAAGATTTTCAAGGATTTATTTTTGTTATTTTTAATATTTTACACAGAAATATTTATAAATACTTTGGTTTATAAAAATAATATCACAGCATAGCTTTCATCTTTAAAAAAAATATCATTCTTAATTTCACATATCTATACATGTAATATTTTAAATACAAATATTTAACTAAATCACTAAATTAATACCAATCATTATTGCTTTACAACTTAACTACAATCTATGATCAAGTTATGCAAAATGAAAACCATAGGTTAGCCATGAATTCCACCAGAACCATAAATTCCTGACTTATTGTTCCAATACATCTTCCTAAGCTTTGTCTCAATATGTTAATTCTGGCATTTGAGAGGGATCTGTAATTTAAAGTCTTTTCAAAGCCCCAGGTAGTATTATAAGCTTATATATTAACCCAAGAGCTCATCAGTTATCAATTACTTGTACCATCTGGGTCTTCAGTACCACGCTGATTATCTTCTTCTTCATCTTCATCTTTCATTTCTGAGGCACCAGTATCTTGTGCTGAAGCTTCCTTATTCTTTGGCTGTTTCTCCGGTTGTTTTTCTTGCTCTGTTTGTTCATCGGGTGTTGGTGGTCCAGATACTTGGGGTAGTTTTGGTTCATCTTGACTACCTGGATCTAGTATACTAACATCTAACTTATTGGCAGCTGGTATATCAATACTAACAAAAGACTGCACGGTTCTTTCAAGCTTGGGGCGTTCAGGATCATCAGACTGCACCTGATCTCTAACAGATTCTGCAGGGATGTCCACATTAACAAAACTATGGAAGGATTTTTCCTTTATTAAACTATGTGGATTGGGACCAACTTCAGAAACTGTGACAACCCGTGCTTCAGATGTATCCTTTTCTGATTCATTTTCCTCTCCCCGAGGAGTTTCTTCATTTTCTTCCTCCATCAAAGGATCCATGGCAGCTGATTCTCTGGAGATTACTTTTAAGGACAATATTCTGTCGAACTCTTTGCCCTCTGGTGAAGGTGGAGGGGGAGCAGGGGAAGTTCCTTTAATCCTTTCATCCATAAGCTTTCTTACCAAAAGGTCTTGTTCTGATTCTCTACTGTGCAGGTCAGATCTTGAGTTTACAATTTCATCTTTAGGATCAGTTTCTTCACTATTGGCATAAGAAGCTTCATTGACCTGAGGCCATGGATCTGGACTGGAGTATGTTGAAACATTATTGATAAATCCTTCAACTGCTGGACTTTCTATGCATGGTTCCAGGTAAGTTTTAGCTTGGGATTCAGTATCTTCAACTGATTCAGTAGGCTTCTGTATTATTTTTGTTAGTGTTCCATCTTCCTGTTGATATTCAATAGTGGAAGGAGGAGGGGTTGGTACTGGAGGAACATCAGTCACTTCACGATATTGCTGTCTTTCTGTATTAACTAAAGACTCTAATGTTTCTCTGGCTGACATCTCTGGTATTGTCTTAAGACCTGTAAATATAAAATAAAACGGAAATTTCCATCACAAAGAAATGCACATTTTCATGCTGGGCATGGGTATGAACAATGATGAGCAAAACACTGAAAAGAGTAAAGCAGCTAGAAAAGATGTTAATCAGCTGTCAGAAAACATTGCCAACAAACAAATATAACCAGAAATGGTAAACTGGTGCAAAACCTGCATTCATATCCAGTTCATTTGAATCATACCGGGCTTGCTCTCAAAATATGTTGGTAACAACTCTGCAAAGTTTCAACACAATCTATCAAAAACGTAAGGCATCTGATTTCACAAATTCATTCCTCTAAAATGTGATGACTGAAAAGTTCTAAGCCTATCTGTGAAAGACTCGTATAAAGTTGATGGTTTCCATTAATTTTTCTATATAGTTCCCTTCGAGGTGTATACACTTTTGTTAATGACTTTTGTCATTCCTAACTCATTGGCAATAATATAGATGCCCACAATACTTGCAATATGTTGAGTGGTCAATCATTGATCAGCCATCACCATGTCATGCACCTGGGTAATGTTTTCTTGAATGGTTGCTGTTATGCCCACAACACTTGCAATATGTCAAGTGGTCAATCGTCGATCAGGCATCACCATGTCATGCACCCAGGTAATGTTTTCTTGAAGGGTTGCTGTTGATGGCCTTCCAGGACAAGGGTCATTGTCAAGGCTCTCTCTGTCACACTTAAATTCTATAGTCCACTTCTTTACTGTGGAAGAAGAAGGGGCAACATCCACTAAAGTGGAGACCATGTCGGCATGTATCTGTGTTGGTACTTACTTGATGATCGCCCTTTAGCCAGTTTTGTCCATTCCTTGTGATTTCAATGGGTAGGTTCACAAGATGGTCTGGTAGGAAGATAATAGTAACACTATCATTGCAGTTCTTGTGTCTATGATTCATTCAATGAATGTATCTTTTGGTGGCAAAAGTTTGTTTCAATGCAATTGATCTTTTCTTTTCAGGCTTAGAACTTTTCACCAAGCCCTCGTAAAAACCTTAAAAGTTAATGGATGGACGGACTGACAACACCATACCAAACAAGGGCCATTTGTAAAACAGGTGTATAAAAACTGCATTTTTCCCCACAAAATCTGGTATGGTGATTACCTCTATATTAACAAAACTTACCACTCTGATCATTTGGATTTTCACACTCTGAGTTGCTGGGAGAATTAACTGGAACCAAAACATGATCTCTGGAGTCCAGGTTCTTTAATGATGATTCTGTTTTATCTCGGATGAATGATCTATCTTTATTGGTAGCGGGAGTGCACACAGGAGCTTTGGGTAGATTATAAGGTGACCCTGGTGTAGCAGGTATTCGCACATCCTAAAAATAATTTTTTCAATTATTTCTCAGTATGTGAATTGAATAAACTGGAGTTTACAATGGGTATCTTTTGATGTTATATAAAGGGATACATTTAAACAATGAAAGGGGTTCCTGATCAGAGTTTTTTCCTGATGTTATCAGTATGCATATTAAAAAAATCGAAACGACCAATTTTCTTCTCAGCCATTCAATAACATAACATATTGGTTTTGCACGTTTTGAGCTGTCTTGACAAAGAGTAACATTGTGTAACTGACTTTTATCGAAAACATTCAATTATCCCTTTAATGTTTATGATCTGCTGCCAGTAGTAGAGTATTTTGTCATATCTAGAACTGTACAGTTTACATTTGTAGACTTCTAATACAATACTTACTAGTTCTTGTTGTCTATAACTATCAGTTGGTGAAGTGAGATTAACATTCATTGTTGTACCATGATCTGATCCTGCTGTTACAGAACTACGTACACTAGTTGGTGGTGTTGGCATTGGTCCTGTATAAAAAAATAAATATATTAATGATAAAGGTAGGATAAAATATGGTGCATGATCTCAAGGTGTTTATCAGGACTTTTAACTCTAAGAAAGCAAAGGGACTACGAATAGCTACTCTATTTCAAATTAAAAAGCTAAACAAATCCTACAACAAAACGTGCATGTGAAGACCTTACAATATTAAGGTACTTTGATTTAAACATAGACTAGGGCTAGTTAGGTCCCATAAAACATCTACCAGCAGCAAAGTTGTCCAAGATAGATCTATAGTCAATGTCAACAAACTCTGTTGTGTAAGTTCTAAAGAATTCAACTAAGTTTATAGATAACTCTGTCCTATTCACAAGCTTTCAAAGCAAAAATGTGAACAGGATTTTAACTCTGTGAAATGCTTTCAAAACGTATGGGGGGAAATAACTCTATGATTTACGATCAAAATATTCTTAATTTTAACAAGGTTTCAGCTTATGCCCTAATAAACAAATATCATCGAAAGATATCTCTTTTAAATTAATTTGCAAAATAACTCTGCAAAACACAGTAACATTTTATCGATCAGTAAATTTTGAAATTCAGTAGGATTCTTCTTTTCATACACAAATGAACAATCCCATTGCAATCTTTTGTTTGCTATCAACCAAAGTTTTTACTAGAAGGAGAAGGTTTTAACAAGTTTGCCAAAATCCTCCTGTGAACTTATCTTTAACTGATAAGTAAATGGATCAACACAATCAACTTACCTATACTAAGATCCATTGTATCTGATTTTTTATAAGTAAAAGGTCTGGTATGTTTGATACCCGTGGGTAATTCAGGTAGACCAAGTGATATAGATGCCACTTTACTTTTACTACTAGTCTTTTTACCACTACCAACAGCCTTTAATCTACCTGTAAAATATATAATCATCATAAACTTGTTATTACACACATACGTAGATGTACAGGACTATTTAAGTTTGCAGGGGAACAGCTTCAGAGGCTCAAATCTCTATAAACATTTTTTTTTCTAAGGATATCTGTATCAATAATGTTAGTGAGATTTTTGATACACAGATTGAAATATTTGTCTTTAAGATCCTTGTCTGAATTTGACCCCCTATTGTTAAAAAAATGTTCAGTGGAAGAGACGTAAGTGCATTAATTGGCCAAATTTCTAGAATTACTCAAACTGTGGGGCACTCAGATATCTCATTTATTTACTTTCTTATCACTTCAAGCATTGTAAATGCTTAAAAAACTAAAAGTCACAACAAATTCCATTTAAATTTATTCATATGCTACTTGGAATATGAAACAACATTTACAGATTTTTCATCTAAAACTTAATTAAGAAAAAGTACCGTTGCTTAAACTGACTATTGAGGTGTCCAAATCAATCAAAAGTTCTATAACTATAAAATATAGATACTCACAGAGATTACCGGTAAAATTAGTTCTAATATTTTGCTTACGTATAGCAGGAAGAGGTTTCTTATGTCTAGAGAAGCCTTGAATGGATAATGATATTTCTCTAGACTGTATATCACTCTCGTTACCAGGCGTATTTACTCGACTCATATGATCAATCAGTAAACCGTCATCAAGCTGGAAGATTGGACGTGATTCCATTAAGTGAGACTCTCTAATGTTGCGTTTTTTATCTCTTAATAGTGCCATTTTCTTCTGCTGCAATGCCTCTGCTGTTCCTATGGAAATGCCAGTTAGATCTCGTACTAAGGGAGGTTGAAAATCTTGTATAACATTATTGATTCTGTCTTGAGACATTAAATCACTGAAATCACAGAACATAAAAGTAATTATTACATTAAATAACATAAGTCTCATAAAGCTGACATACACAGCATTACCATTTGGTAATTTTTACTGTATATAACATAAATATTAAGTCTCATTGTGAAACGATACAACAAACATAGCATCCATGATATTCCTATCATGATTATTCCAATTATGTGTAGAGCCTAGGGGGCGGTGGGAGATAATTTTACTTTCGAACTAGGGTCCCCTGGAAAAATGAGGCCTAAAAATTTAAAAAAGAAAAAAATTGGGATCAGAGACCCCTACCCCCTGAAAGTTCCTACCCCTATTTTTGCCCTAGACTGCTGTTTTTTTGGCGTAAACTTCAATAGAAATACACCAAAGGTGCCTTGTATAGTGTCTTTTGATAGGTTTTTAATGATGCTGAGTATGATTATTGACATCAAAGTCATTTTTGATGATCCCATATGGGAGAAATCCAAAATGGTGCCCAGGCCCCCATTTTTTTTTAAAAGCTATGCTTTTCGTATATATGGCATGTCTATGTGTCTTTTTATAGGTTTTCCATGTTGCACAGTCTGCATATGAACTTAAAAAATACTTTTGACCATCCAATATGGCGGAAATTCAAGATGGTGGACACAAACATGGCACCCTTTTGTACAAACTAATACATAATGAAGTATATGATCATGATTTGTTATATGACTTTACATATGATGGCAACATCAGCAAGCTCAAATTCAGTGCTTATAATGCTAATATTAATATTATTTTATATAATGGTAATGTCTGTAATGTGCATGTGTCTATTCGGTACTTAGATTAACCCAGATGTACGCACTGCAGTTGTCTCATTCCATACACTTTTCGTATTAGTTTTTGAACAAAATATTAAATATTTGAACCCACCTATCTTTAAGATGATCTAAAACCTGCATCAATAGATCTCTTGGTAAACTCAGCAGATCGTTTATTCTAAAATATATATAAAATAAAACTTTGAAATGTTAAAATACAATCGGTAACTCTGGTCAAATGATATCTACAGATGTAAGTGGAGCTGCTGTTAAAAGAAAATGTAGCCAAAACATTAATTTTAATGCCAACCTAATTTTGGCCCTACTATTGAAATTTGAGTTATCATGGATAAACCAACCTATTGCAGTCACTAAAATGCAAATAACAATTCTTTAAAGAAAAGAAACCAAGAACATTATATATTTAGAAATTTTACTATACCCATCTGAATCAAAAGCTGATCTGTGTGGATATGATGATGATTTTCCTGTATTTCTACCTCGACTGATCGGTGATCGACATCTTGTTGACTGTCGTTTCTGCAAAATAAAAATATCCATCAATTTATTAGCTGATATACTATATGTTATTGTCAATTAAAAACCAATGAAAAAAAAAAGTTTTGAACTATTTCAAATTTATTAATTACTAATTTCACACTGGTAATAAATAAACTTATATCTATGCATACTATAAAAGAAAATGTATTCAAAAAACTAATCAGCAAGTAGGTCTACTGGTTATTAATTATCATACTGAAATACTTTTATTCTAATTTCTATGTTAACTACATGTGAAAAAAACATCTATTTAATTATATCAGAAATATAGACTTGTTAAAATATATGATACGATCATGGTACTTATAATCAAAAGGTCCATGGTGAAACTATAAAACGGCCAAAGTTGTCACTACCACAAACCCCTGCGTGCGCGCTAAGATAATAAAAATAAGACAACTTTTCTGCAGTATCACCCTTGGTGGAAGTGGATGTTAAACACTAATAGAACAGAACAGTATCTGCATGTCTCCAGCAGATCACGCAAGAAAAATGACATTATTACGAGTGACCAACTTTCACATTGACCAATATTAGAAAAAAGTTCACGGTTATACTAAATATTAAAAGCAGATTAACTAATAAAAGAATATGCTACAATTGAAGAGATAAAAGCACCATAAATTTGACATATAATATAAAAGCTGAATAATATAAAGCACATTAATAAACTGGAAGCATTAGAAAGATATAAATATATGGTTTTATTTGAATATAATTATCTAATTAGTCTACTAAGAATGTAGCCCAACTGAATAACAGTATAGTGATGTATAGTAATAGCACAGACAGAGTAAGAGAACTGGATAGCTTTTTCTATCTGTTTTATGAAGATTTATTTTTAAGAAAAGACAATCACTATCTAATCTAAGGATAATTTATGTTAATGTATTATTTCTTTTCTACCTTATATTTAATTACAGGAAAAGTATAAAAAGGCTGAAAAATCAATATTCAATTAAATATACAACAGAACCATGATTGCCATGCAAGATACACCCACATTTTGCTAAAAATGGACATATAAAGGTAAAAAAAAGAAGTGATGTTTTTGTACAATCAGGGGTCATAATCCAGGAAGTTACGATCCGATGTGCATGAATATCGAAACGAACCAAAATCTTTGGGTTAAAAACATACATTTCAAGTTTCATCTAAATCGAATAAAAATTGTGACCCCTAGAGTGTCCACAATCTAAAATCCCTATTTTCAGGGGCCATAATCCATGAAGTTTTGATCCAATACATTCCAATATCGAATGGAACCAACAAACCGCTCGTATGACCTCTGACGTGACCTCCCAATACAACTGGTCAGACCTTCATGTAGTGTAGGCCTTTGAAAGTATAAAAAAACAAATGAAATATAGATTTGTATTTTAATCAGATTGGACCTTGACTGCTAACCATGGGTTCTGCAAAATATGGCCTGGGCTTAAACATTGTTATAAACATGTTTCCTGTCACCAGTAGGGTAGAAGTTATATCTCAGTAAGGTCGGGTTAAAATTATAAAATCAGATTTGAATTCAATTACATTATCAACCCCTTTGAAATCAATGTCCAAGGGAGTTGATAACGGTACTGTGGTTCATTGCGTGCCCTCATTTACGTAAATACAATATAAATTTCTAATCATAATTACTGTTTGTGAGTGTTTCTCATGGTTTAAATCAATACTTGAGTCGACTTGACATAATCATTTATATTATTGTTAAAATTATAATGGATCCATGTGGGTTTTTAATAAAAGTTAACAAAATAAGATCAAATGACATGGAGTTTAACATCAGGGCAATTTTGCCTGGACAGTGGCATTTCTGCTTACTCTTCATCAAATTTTAAATTGGTGCAGAACAGTAGGATTATAACTGTGAATGGGGTCTTTTACATGGATATCTATGATGGTGGATTTTTGTTTCTCATCACCTCAGAATGACTAGCTTGTCCTGTACCACTGACAAGGGGGAATCAGGCTGGAAAATCCTGGAAACTTTCTCAGGCAACGCTGGGATTGAACCCAGGATTTCCTGGTTATTGGGCAAGCACCTTTCTCACTGAGTCACTGTTGCTCAGTAAAAAAAACAACAGAACACTGTACGAAACATAATCTATGATCTATAAGCAATGAAAATATTTTTACTCACCATTCTCAATTCCTCTCTTTCCCGCTCTAATTCCTCTGGAACACACTGTTCTGTGACATCTTTAGTTCGTATTAGTTGACTTCCTGATTTTGTTCCATCTGTTATCCTGGAAAGATAATATACAAATGGTAATCACTTACTTTATCTAAGAAATTTTTATTCAACACCTTATCATTTATTGTCTTATCCTTCCCCTCACTCCCCTACCTAGGGAATGAGCAGGTACTTATGCTTTATCTTCATTCTAATCTAGACATATTGCAGTGCATTATGAAGACTAATTACCAATTAGGCCTACTGATCAGAGGTTTAGGAGAAATATGTTTTCTTCCCTCTTGCAGTGTCGTAAACACATAATAAATACAATATGTAACTGACAGTGATTCTAAGACCTATTTTATATTCCCTGTACAAAACTGGCCTCCTTTATCTATATTAAAGATTTTTCATGTTAGGGCATCAGTATTACATAGTAGAAATAGATTGGTTGACAGAGGGTATAGTTCCATTTTGAAACACTAGTGATAAAACTCCAAAAGCATAGCAATCAAAATGTTTGGAAGATTATAATTGGTCTTAAAATAGAGATCTGACGTCACCTTCTGTGTACCATTATTTCAAATAATGGTACGAGTAACGTGTCAACCATACATTATCTTATACTAGATGAAATATTGGAATCAGTGATGATTTTCTTGTAAATGTACATGTGGGAGTGTGTCTGTATTTTAAGTTGTTTAATGGTCTCAAGCAACAGATTGCATAATATATTGAAACAACAATCAGACTCATGTCCTCGTGCAGTATCAATGTATTACTTAATGTCTCTCTCTGGACCAATAAACCACACATATCTCTGGTCATGTGGAGTGACATGTAGTAGCCTATGTATTGCATGGATTTATTTTGGTTTATTAACCATTTGATAACTACTACAATATGTTGACTAAATTATGATTTAAAATTAGCTCAGTCTTCAGGGACTGCACAACAAATTGGTTAATCATCCGGTATTTCCAATAATTAACTAGTTATTGAATAACTTTGAATGTTTATATGTTGATCATTATTAAAATATATATACTATCTGTTGAACTGCTGAAAAAAAAGAAGATGGCTTTACTATTTAGTTGAAAGCCAGATACACATGATCGTAATCTATATAAAATATTACCAATGACCATAATAATTACATTTTTAATTCTGTGTCTGGTTCAGGTGGAGGTTTTCTGTTAGGACTGGGAACCCAAACATAACACTGCTTAGTTATAAATGTTTCGTCCCAGCGACTCTCTAAATCTTCAACATCAAACAATTCTTGAACTTCAACAACTTTCATTTTAGGTGGAGACTTCTTCTTAGCTGGTTTTACTACTGATTCGGGTGTAGGAAGCGGGGATGATGCTAAATGCCTGAAAAAATATATACAAATATTTATAATCTAAATTTTCTAAATTTCATCCATGGCAATCATGTATCGGTAGTGTTATCATAGTCTTTGTTTTCTCACAGACAATGTTGGAAATTAGAGATGCAAGGATTATCGGTAACAACATCAGGGTCGGCCAATAATTGTGTTGTCTGAAATCCAAAAATCTATATTACATACCACAGATTTATAGACTGAAATGAAAAATAACTGCCATGAACAGGTTTTTTAATCAATTACCTTTTTTGATTATTTTATATGATGTGAAATAATGACGTAACTGCTTCATTATTGTGGCTATGTTTAAGTGGGGTATTCAGATAATTTTTGTGATTCAACACTCCCAACAGATAAATAACCATATTAGTGAAATGTATAAAAAAAACAGGTAGACTAAAACTAAATGGTCTATGTTAAGTGTGAAATTTTTTAAATATTCAATAGAATTGAGGTATATATATTTACTATAAAGTTAGGCATATGTTCCATTTACCACAAACACAGAGGAAAAAACAAAACAATACTGAATACAAAGAAGCAAATTGAGAAAATGTAAACTGTCTGGAAAGACAGCCGTCTGCTGACTGAATGACATGATGTAAAAGGCGATAGGTTGCCAAATGACGTCAAAGGTTGAAATGTAATAAAAACCACAATACAAAAGTTTGATAATCCCGACAAGATAATGCCAAAAGGTTAATAAACATCGATTTAGGAACTAATCGGACTTATTCAGCTTTATAACTGCACAAAATATAATACGTAAAACACCTATAAGAAATGCAAAAAAGATATGTTGAAGAAATCGTACTATATTTTTTGAAAGTGTATTTATTATAAAGGCATAAAATAAGGGTGATAATCCAGATAGGATTACGGAACTCCAGAAAATTTGAAATAAATATTAAATTAGATAGTCAGTTATATACTTATAAGAAATGTCAAACTTGGTATGTTGAGGTAATGGAAGTTTCGAAAAAATTTTTAAAATGCGTAAATTGTGTACCGCCTTTGGCAGTGCACTTACAATAAAGAGATTTATTCTAGAAAGAAATAGTTCTTTATCGTTACATATTGTCAAAAATTGTAATGCCTGTGAATAGAAAACACTACATAGCGTTGTGATATCTGGTATGTTACTATAAATTGACAGGTATTTTATCACTTCAAACCCAAATTTGTCTGTTTTGTCGAAAATAACGAATTAAATTACTGTTAATTATATTAATATCCAGGTCAAGAACAGAAATTTCTTTATTTAATATTAGTTCTGGGGGATATATTTCACTTTTATATTTGTTGAAAGTTCCGTTATCATTGATAGGTGTTATGTCATCAATGTATCGGAAGGTATAGTTTAGACTTTTAGCTACTTTGTAATCAGTTTTTCGTTTATGATCCTGAAAACAGAATTCATACTTATACAAATGTGCATTTGCCATAAATGGGACAGGGTCAGTTCCCATTCGTAAACCAATTGTTTGCTGTATTATCTGATCTCCAACTTCAAATATGGCATTGTCAATGAGAAAATGTATAACATTTGGAAATTTTTCTTTAACAAAAACCAGTGTCGGCATTGCAACGTTTTATAATTCATCTAGCATCTTCTGAGTAAATGGCCATCAAGTTTCTGCCTTTTCCGATCTCCATTAAAAGCTTTATCCACAAACCAATCCAAATTACCTTTAAGTAAGATCTGAATGTTGAAGCATAGTATACAAAGTAGAAAGGTCAAACGGTTCTATCAATCTGGTTAAAACACAGATCCTATTTCGTTTCGTTTTTATAGTTCAAAATTTTGTTTTACTTGTCTTTACTATACTTGGATCTGGAAGAGTTGTTATTTAACTCGTGTTCTGAATGGTGTCAGGGATAAGCCAATGAAACGGTCTGTTATGGCGAGCTTTAGACATGTTTTTCACGGAACTGTGGGTAATCTTGATGTAATGTAGGCAATCAAAAGTATAAAGAAACGAAACGAATAATAGATCGGTATTTTAATCAGATTGACGTTTCTATTGATTTAGCATTAAATTTTTGATTGATTTTATCTAAAGTTTCTACGATGGGTAGAAATAACATAATAGATCATTATTAATTAGTTTATTAATTCCTTAAAAATGCAAAAAAGTTACCCTAAAGCTTTGGTTGGAAAGGTTAATGCTGGGAATGGTTCATGTCTTTGTTCCGGTCTTTGTTCCGATGAATGACCACTGTGTTTAGCAGGAAATCTATCTCTTGAATCTTCCCCATAATCTTCTATTAAATTATAAACTACCAATTCGGGTAAGGCTGAAAATTTAAAAAATAAAATAAAAATACAGCCACTTGTGCACTCCACTCATGGGTTACAATCTACAAATAATCTTACTAATTAATCACAAATTTCTTAAACTTATCAAAACATCTAAACAATAAAACAAATTAATCACACTAACATGTCCCTGCTGTGACTGGTTTTCTTTGTGTAAATTCCTCATCAGTTTTAAGAGGAAATCCCTTTTCTCTGCGTTGATTGGATTGCCAGCATGCTGGATGTTGACAAAATGCACCACAAGATGTTTCATCTATCAACTTTTCTGTTTGATTTTCATGTGTAGCCTGCATTTTGAAGCTAGCCTTCCAGTTTTTACTTCCACTTCCAAATTATCAAATAAAGTTATAGTACCGGTAATAATAGGCCTAGATTTTAAAATCAATTACTGTAAGTCGTAGGCCTATATATAAACCACATTTCAATGTCAGTCAGCCATAATCAATTATTGTAAACCCAAAAAAGCTTTGCATTATCATTTGTTATTTCAATGTTGTCCTATTTTGTTTTAATAATTAAATAATAATATTATTATTCTATAATTATTGGTGGATCCAATTTCAATTATGGAAATAGTTCGGTGCAATATATTCACACGGGCTTAAAATCATTTGGCAACAATGTAGGCGAAATGTTACATTATGTTTCATTAAACAAAAGACGTTTACATTAATGAAACTCAAGCAAAATATCAGTTTTCCTTCATTTTCGCAGATTGTTATTTTTTGGTCGATATTTTTCGGCCATTTTGAAACAAATTCATGACAACCTAGTCCAGCAGCTAAATATTCATGCCATAGAAAAATAATATATCTCAAAATCTAGATAGATTGCATGTCCATTTATTATGATTATTTTTCTTAAACAATCTAGATACAAATGTATAATTTATATTGATATTTACAAATTAGATCTTTTAATTCCTCACTGCGGTGCAACCGGAAGTGGGGTTCATTATTGGTCAATACTGAATAAATGTCGGGAATTTTATAGACAGCATCAATTGAACATAAAGCTGTCAACATGGATATGAAATCGAAGCTGAATAAATTTGCTGGTGGGGCTGGCACTTTATTTAACAGAGCTGTACAGGTATGTTTATTTAAATGCCATTATTTTTTTTCTTATTTGTGTAAACAGCATCGCTCGACATCGTAATAGACTGTCAGTAAAGTGGGACAAGCGAAACGTCAGTGTGTAAGGAAACGATTTAAGACCCGCCTTCTTTTATTCAATCTGCGTGGCTATTTTCTCACGTTGTATCCATTAGACAGTGTAATGAATTAACATGACTAAGATATGTCTTCTTATGACTGATAGGCTTGTGACTAGATTCGTCTGCAAATTGTCAGCGTAAAGGAAATAATCTTTTTTTTAGCCATTTTACCATTTTTAGTTTTGATTTATTTTAGTGTCTTTCTTGGGATTAATGTAAACACCATTTTCCATTTGGCATAGGACACATGATAATTATGCTCCAAACCATACAGCATAATACTTGTCATTAATCTATTTTTGGTGCATTGATTGATCCACTTGTATACCTAATTTGGGTTCCCCTAGTTTTAGTTAATGATCCAACTATTTCCCAATCAATGCCACGATAATAATCTCATTCAGAAATCTAGCTTGTGATACCCATGATCAAACAGTTCATTTTTCTTCTTTGCGACCCATTTTTTTGTTACCAACCTATACTAAATTCTCATTGGCAATACATTACAAACTACAATACAATGAGTCTAAAGTCCACAATTAACAACTGCTAGATTTAATCAGTCTTAAGAATATGTCAACTCTGTCTGGTGAAATTGAAAACAGGTTTCACAGTTTTATCCCAGCACTTTTCAAGAAAAATAAATTTCTTAATCGTATATTATAGCATACATGTACATCATGTAGAGAATTCAGATGATGATGCAAGCACATACATGTGCATGTAGTGATACATGTAAATACTGAATTACAGATTTTCCTAATAAAAAAGAAAGTCACTAGGGCTGCAAAGATTCATCGTTGAATTGATGGACTGCAATGTTTTAAATATCATCCACAATGTACGATACAATCAGTTGTGATTCGTTATCCAAATAATAATTTCACAAAAATAGACTGATATTCCTTTAAATGTGTAAATAAGTCCATGAGCAAAATAACTTTTTTTACTTTCAGCAAGTGTTAAGGCATTTTCGACACATGAAGTGCTTATTATAGCTATTTCATCAAGATTAAAATATCAGTCCGGTTAAGCAAGGCGTGCTAGAAATTAAGTTGCGTTCAAATTACACACTTGAATGATATGCGGAAAAAAACATACAACATATTAATATATATATATACGTCAGTAATATTCGATTTGTGATAATATTACTGTATAAGAATGGTGATTTGTACATTCTGCATACACTGATCAGTACGTATTTTCAATGTACATGTACCGGTACATTAATATTTGATATTAAAATATTCGTAACATTATTTCCTTTGCTGTTCTGTAATCTATGACTGACCTGACAACAGGAAAGCTTTTCATTGGCTGAAATTGTTGTGGCAATACAAGCCAGCCAGCCAGCTGAAATTTTTCATAATGAATTCACCAAATTCAAGTTGCACGATTGACAAAAGCAATTTTGAGATCGAAATCCCCTATATACCAAATACAAGTCACAAGTATGGCAGTTTTTAGGATTTCCCGCTAAGCATGACAGCAATAAAATCTGTTTAGTTGACCAAGAAAACACCACATTTAAAGTAAATCATAAAAGTAGGCCTTCAATTTTCACAATGAAAGACTGTCAAAACTTAACAGCATTTTTTAAATTTATTTCCTATACCACGATATTGTATCGTAGGCTATGAATCGTGTTGTGGCCTGGCGTATCGCTGCAGCCCTACAAGTCACTACTATTTTTAAGTTGGAAACATCAGTATCTCAGTAATGTAATGGATCAGTCAAGATGGAATTGGATAAATAATTTAGTGAATTTATTATCTCACAATATTCTCTCAATTCATAGTTAAATCATGATCATAACTGTAAGAACTAAAAAATATTAATACACAAAAACACATACTTATGGAAAAACAGCTACTTATTTATTTGGGCAACGTTCCGAAGAGTATTCTCTCAATGTTATCAAGTTGAGAGAATACTCTTCGAAACGTCGCCCAAATAAATAAGTAGCTGTTTTTCCATAAGTATGTGTTTTTGTGTATTGCTCTATCCAGTTACTAAATGGCTCTAAAAGAAGATTTAAAAATATGGTTTACAGATTGGCATTGATTGCATTCCAGAGCACAGAAAAGATAAGATTTTATGTAGATAAATAACAATATGACAAATAACATATACATTTACAAACAATGTATTCTTACTCCAAGTCTTACCTTCTAGAGCCTACATGTACTTTATTTGAAAACTGTTAAGCTACATGTGCAGTTAAGTAGTTCCGTGATTTATAATTGTTTTCATATTTTGTTTGAATGTACTGTGTAGTTCACAGAAGAAAAACTAGGTTCTGCAGAAAAGACCGAATTAGATGCACATTTTGAAAATTTATTACAAAGAGCTGAGAAAACAAGAATATGGACAGAACGAGTTTTAAAACAGACAGAAGCAGTATTACAACCAAATCCAAGTAAGTTTTTGTCAAACTAAATTCTACTGAAATGAAATTAAATGACTGTCTGAACCGTTGTAGAGAGAGAGAGAGAGAAATGGGGTTTAACATCCACTCGACACAAACTAGGTCATTTTGGGACTAACATGGTTTTAATTTTATTTCAATAATTTGCTTGCGCGTAGGGGTCTTTAGCAGTGGGAGGAAACCGGAGGACCCGGAGAAAACCCACGAGGTTGGACAGGCGACCCTACAACCGGGGATTCGAAACCAAGCCAGTTGACTCAATGACATGTCTTATGATATAGCGCACACACGCGTGCTAACCATTAAGCCATTAAACCCCCCGCTGAACCGGTGTAAATTTTAAACAGATTTCTTTGATTGTGAACAAACTACTTATCTATGGTTATAATAGACTCCCATGTACAATCAAATATCGCAATGAATAAGATCTGAAAGTAGGTCTCATTACACTCGCCCTGTACATTCAGGAACCGTCCTATTGAATCCTTGTCAAAAAAGTATCGACCCCATTCAAAGCCCAGCTTAGGCATGGTATAACCTTCTCTGTGAAGTTCCACTCGGTGATTGGTCTAGGTGGCTTCTAGCGGCGCGATGGGCGGAGATTGGGTGAGTCTGCAATCCTCCAACCTTCTCTGTGATTGGTCGAAACCTCTGACGTAGACGATTTTTTAGCAGCTTTCTCATAGACACTCACTGCAGTCAGGACAGTATGAGTGAACCCAGGAAACGAAATTGAGGACTCAAGTATGAGTCCCCCCCCGTTATATGTTATTTCCGCGCATTGTATGCCATTCGGAACTAAATAGATTTCGTATGTGATGAGATATTATGTAATTATTCTTGTATTACAGACCATTTAATTGTGTGTTACGCATGCATGCCATTCAAAAAGATATGAAATAATCTTTTCGTCGGGTTAGGGACACCTCGATTTTTGTCAGATCCAGGTCTCCGGTCCGGCGGTCCGGCGTCCACAATTGACTTTAAATTTATATACAGTGTTTAAGGCCATGAGACGAAGAAGCCTATTAATTTTCAGTGATTTCCGATAATTACTGCCAGAATTATGGCCCTTGATCACTTTGAAAAATCTTGTGGATACTCTAAAGGCTAAAGTTAATATCCGATTGACTTTAAATTTATATACAGTGTTTAAGGCCATGAGACGAAGAATCCTATTAATTTTCAGTATTTTCCGATAATTACTGCCAGAATTATGGCCCTTGATCACTTTGAAAAATCTTGTGGATACTCTAAAGTTAATATCCGATTGACTTTAAATTTATACACAGTGTTTAAGGTCATTTCCGATAATTACTGACAGAGTTATGGCCCTTGATCACTTTGAAAAATCTTGTGACGCTCTAGAGGCTAAAGTTATCATCCGATTGACTACAGAATGATACACAGAGTTTAAGGTCTTGAGACGAACAAGTATATTGTAATCAATGAATTTTTATGACTTGAACAGCTAAATCCATGATATTAAAAGTTTTGTATACTAAACGTTAGCATGGGGCAGAACTTTATAAAAAACAAATTCTAATGGTTTTCTGATAATTATTTCATGAGTTGTTACTCTTAATCAGATTTTAGTGTATTATAAATGTTTCATTACCGAAAAAAGTAAAAATATGCGACAACACTTGTTGACTGCCCGGACGATTTAGCTGCTGTGGGCGTATATTTCATTGCCTGGCAACCTATCTTTGTTTATTTGACAAATACTACTCAAATCGGAATATTCCTGATAAGAATAGTTTAGGATGTCTAAACATTGTTTATCAGCTTTCTAAAAATGTATATTTTAATAAAAAAAAATCACTTGTCAAAAGAGGCATTGCAGACTTTGTGTATTACTATTAGTCTTGCTTGTTAATTATTCAGACCATGGTAAAAACTTTGCTTCAAATTTAACCTTTTTTACTACAGATCTGTGTAGTGTACAATACCTCATATGACATGTGACCTTTTACAGTAATAGAATTCAAAGCGTTGAATAGTTGAGGCATGATCACGATCTACGAAATGCCATCAGAAAATTCCATTCTCCATGGATTTCAAAATGAAGTCATACTCATTATTTATAGTTAATAATTTTGAGTACAATCGTAATTGACAGGGCTGCTTAAGTTCATCAAGAAAAATTAAAGATATTCAAGGGTGAAATTCAAGGCCCGTAAAGCGATTGTCATTCTTTTTGTCCTGCAATTGTGTTGAAAAGCCCCCCCCCCCCAACTCTCTAATCATATAATTAAACCAAGGCGGGAACAAAATGACAGACTACAGTCATATTTGTGTGTGTAAATGCCCAAACTCATTACTGGGTCCGAGACTAATTGCTTATTCGTACACAAAATTTGAATTGTCGTAAGAGAGCCATACACCGTTACGGTAGACACGTCATGCTACCACCCCCTTGTACGAAATGATATATTCCGATAAGTGATGTCATTGCTGTCATTAGCTTCCGTTTTTGTATTAATCAATGTCAAAATTTGCGAGGAGTTCAGTTTTGTTGAGATATTTAATTGTACAATGGATTTTATTTAACCAGAGCGGTTTTCAACCCCTTCAAACACATATAATAGGCAAGTTTTTGATAAACCATAATTAAGTAGTTTGTCCATAATCAAAGAAATCCATTTAAAATTTACGATGCTTCAGACAGTAAGTTTAATTTCCTACTTTTCTGGACCATCCGGGCTAATTTGAAAATATTTTAAATCATTTTTAGTTAGTAGGCCTATATTTCACTGTAACCCAGGTATCGTTTAATCTTGTGTATCTAGCACTAATTTCTTTCACATTCGTTTAATATCAAATCTTTGTTTAAAAATTCGTAAAAATTGTTTAAAATCACCAAAAATCATCTAATTTGTACATGTGTCCAGTTTAAAGCCGACTGATTAATTTTGATAATGAGTGTCCAATTTACAAGTATTTAAGTTCCTGATCACTGTTCAAAAATTAATCATTATACATCATTAATCAATTGGGTTGTTTATTTTTTTAACAATGATTGAGAAATTAAACACTTGTAAATTGGACACTCATTATCAAAATTGAATGGTCATCTTTAAACTGGACAGAAGTACAAATTAAACGATTTATGGTGATTTTAAACAGTTTTTACAAATTTTTAAACAAAGATTTGATATTAAACGAATGTGAAAGAAATTAGTGCTAGATACACAAGATTAACCGATACCTGGGTTACAGTGTTTGATAAATATAGGAATGACGTCTGGTCATTCAGATGCACTGAAAACCAAAAGTCCCTTGTACGTGTTGGTGTACACATAAAAGAAAACCTTGACTGCTGTAATTTGACAAAGAGCAGGCAAAAATGCCACTGTGACTGTCCAAGCAAAATTTCGATCTTTTTATACTGTATTGTGTATCCCCATTTCATTTTAAATAACCCAGACTCCCATGCAAATTTGTCTACCATACATATTTGTTTAAAGTTTTTGTGATGGTTAACATGCATAAAACTGATTGTTACATGCAAAGCCATACCAATTTCAACTTATTAAAATTTTGCTTAATTTGAGGGGAAGAAAAAACAATTTAAAAATAAAAGCAAATCTGTCTACCGTAGATATTTGTTTAAAGTTTTTGTGATGGTTAACTTGCATAAAACTGATTGATACAGTACATGTAAAGCCATACCAATTTCAATTTATTAAAATTGTGCTTAATTTGAGAGGAAGAAAAAACAATTTAAAAATAAAAGTTCTCTACCTGTTTGCGCTTCTGAAAAACGTTTAGTTCCACTTTTTTTAAGTTTTGAAAGTGAGTATTTATTTATCAGGACCCAGAAAATTAATTTGGTTTGTCATATGATTTGTCCGACGTGGTTTCCCCTTGTCAGTGGTGCAGAACGGAGGGCCTGACAAGGACAGCTGTCTAGTCCTTCGGATGAGATGAAAAACCGAGGTCCCGTGTATACATTAGAATGCATGTAAAAGATCCTTTGGCAGTTGGAATTCGATATACATGTAAGAGTAGGCGATAGTGCCGCTGCCCGGGCAAAATTTCCCTCATAGCACACTGTATGGCGTATGCCCGTCTTCATTAGCCCAGTGTAGGAGCAGAACAGTAGGACGTTAAACCCCATTTCATTTCATTTCATTGCCATATGATATATGCATGTAGCTAGATATATGTACATGTAGTTGGTAGCATAGCATCGAAACCATAGACGACTTAAAACAAATTCAGGTTTGAAGTTGTTAAGCTTGTATAATTTGATATACTGTATCAGGATTCCTTAAAATTTATAAATGAAATAGAAAAGACATAAATTTACACAGACAGACTGTCATTTCTAAATTTGATTTGGTGTGTGATGCCCTACTCTTTCAGTAGGATGACAATAACATGATCTAATTTATCAAACTTTTCTTTAGATCAACGCATGGAAGATTTATTGTATGAAAAACTAGAAAAAAAGAAAAAGGACAGAGTTACAAATGCAGAACAATTAGGACTTTATATGGTGGATTCGGGCAACGATTTTGGTCCTGGAACATCATATGGTGAGTAATTAGTTTTATCCTATGTTTATAGAGTACCATTATTTTAATTCTAGTTTAAAAAAAATCATTAAATTAGAATGTTAAAATGGCTAGACCTCTTTGACCTGTAAAAATGTCAGACTAATTAAATTTGAATTGTTGATTTGTTTTGTTAAGTAGATACATGTACATGTATGTATCCATTTTCTAGATATAAAATATTGGGTCCACAGCCATAATATAGATCTTTTGATATTATAACATGATAGTGTCAAAAGACACAAATTCGTAACTTTCTAGGCTATGCAGATAGAACCAGTTTTGAAATATAACTGGTTTTGTGTTCAACAGTTTAAGCCAAGAATGAAATTAAACTTGGCAAACAGACCAACATCCGCTTAATATTTCAAAATGACAATTGTTTATTGTATCGATCATGGTGCAAATATTGAAATGAAATTTCGAATTAAATCAATTAAATAATTTATTTTGACCTAAATCATTCAGGTTTAGCTGCTTTGAGCATACCCAACACATCTGAACAATGACCTACATGTAATAGTATCTATACTCCTTAAAAAAATTATACACACATGAAATATTCATGAATCAAAGAATACATTTTGTAATGTAGAGGGCATGGTTGGTAGTAATAAATAATGGTGTGTGTATAGTATATGTATACTGTGTAACTGCGGAAGGTAGGCCGGGGGGGGGGGGGGTGTTGATTGATGTACATGTAGCATGTGCTTTACTATTTGGTAGATCTCTGTGAAAGTATTCAATTTAAAATTAACATTTCCTGTGACTACCTGTATGCTTCTTTTTACCCGCTTTAAATCAGGTCAAATAAACAAAGTCTGTTAGTTTAGTAAATATTAACAATATAAAAAAGAATCAATAGTGTAAAGTTTTAGTTTAATTAGATAGTTCCTTCTGTATTGCACGTTCTCTATTGCTCATTCTGTCTGTATTGCACATTCTGTATTGTTCAAATAAAACCTTATCAACAAGATGTTTTATGTTGTTCAGACATGTATCACCATTGGTAACAAATTCATTTTGGGGAACATACACTAAATAATATAATAATATACATGTAACATTTATCCATATTCCTGGGATGTTATACAGACATCAATGGTTTGATTGCTTATTATATAAGTGTAATAAGTGTAAAGATTTGATTCAGGTTTTATACAAGAACCATATAGTATAATTCTCTAGTTTCAAGTAACACTACAGTGTACATGTAACGCAAGAGGATTATAAAATCCAGTCTAAAATTTCTGTACAATGAATTCCATGTAACAATAAGCATTTGAAGAATCAATTGCATGACAGAATAATTAATGAAATGATCTTGATATTAGTGTTATTCGATAACAAATGCCTGGATAATCTAAATTATTACATCACTGATCAGCATCACAATTTGGTTTTGTTCAGTAAACATTGACTGAAGACGACTGAAGACTTGATATGGCTGTAAGGACTGACATATATTAGTTTGTTGATATTTATGGGTTTCTTCCTGCACTTTAAGATACATTATGTAAGATTTAGATAAAGAGCTAGTCATTCTTGCTTTTATAGTTCGAAAATAGATAAAGTAAAATAAATAATTTGAAAACTTCATTCAAATTGCTCTATTGCAAGTGAAGATATTAGCCTTTGAAGGTTTGACAAGATGTGTGCAATAATTGCAACCACCATACTGGTTGTTCGAAGCTAAGTGTCGCTCCTCCATTTTTAAATTAAATCAAAAGATAGCTGAACCGTTCTAATCTATTTAATGTTGGAGAAATCAGATGTCATCAAGAGTTATGGCCTGGATCAGTTAATTAATGTCTAAATAATAATTTAGAAAACATTTCAGGCCTAAAGAAAGACCTGCAATAGGCAGATTTAGCTCTTGCATAATGTATGTTTAAGTAAATGAACAAGAAATCAATAACAAATCATGTAATGATATAAATTAGATACAGGGGGTGTCAACCACTGTCAGTTAAAATGGAACAGAATAGAGTTTAACATCACATTAGCACAATACTTCTGTCATTTTGAAAGAACAAATGGTTATTTTGCCTGGAGAGAAGCATTTCAGCCTTCTCTTCATCGAATTCCAACTGTCAAGGTTTCTTTTATATGCACGACTGCACGCCAATGCATACTTGGCTGGATTTCCGTTTTTTTTTCTTCTTTCAAACATCCATATGATTAGGCAACTCTTTACTTGTGATCCCTGCAGGCACTCTATCTGAAAAAGTCTGCCTTATTCCCACAAATAAAATCATGAGGTTCTTTTGAGCCCAGGTCAGGATTCAAACTACATTCTACCCGGGAGTTCAGTTCAAAGCCTTTAACACTCAATTGCTAGGGTTACTTCAGTGAAAACATCAGCAGACATTGAAGATAGCACATTCTGGTCAATTGTGATGTGGATTCATATTTTTTTATAGGGAGGGGAGATCGATTTGTAATTCTTTTTAGACCATCAAAACCTGACCTGAAAATTAAGGGCTTTTTATTGCCCTTTCCATTGACAAGTTTTCTTATAGATAGATTTTTATTGTTGATACATGTATAATTTGCGTCGCTTGGATTTTTTTTGTAGGGTTGGGTGCCTTGAATCTTGGTCCCAACCATGGATCCACCCTTTTTTACATCATCATTACAAAACTTTTTTTCAAGATAAATGATCTTTGAATTTTCATCATTTGCATGTTTTGAGAAAAATGTTGGCAAAATATGTCATTATGCAGTTCACAATCAATAATTCTATGTAATCCAGAGAGATTTTGATTAAACTAATAATATGATGGTTGCAATTGTATATCAATCACTTAGCGACAGTCATTTATTTTATCTGAATATGTTGGTTTTCTGTTGTCATAATGTAAGTGTTTTACTACAGATTTATTCATCATTTCATACACCAATAATGATTGGTTTAATGAACCATGCTGCCTGTTTTATTTTCTGTCATGAAATGGACGATTGATATAATCAGATATCTATACTCCCTCTCGTCCTCCATCTTTATGCGAGGTGATATCGCACAACAATTGATTTTATTACTTTCTCCACGATTAGATTTGTCTGCTTGCTATCGTAAGATCCCAATTTTTCTACTAAGTGAATTTATAAAGCTGATTTCTTCTTCTTGCCGTGGATGATTGATAGAAAAGCTCAAAATACCTTCTCATCCATTCAGTAAAATTCCCTTTAAATTAGAAAGAAAGTTGATCTGGTTGACTTTGATCAATTTAAAGATGAGGCTCAGAGATGTCAGATATTTTGGTCTGGATATATTTCTTAGACATGATGCACCATGAGCAATTTAGTTAGCTTGGAGTTGGACCTTTATTCAATTTACTAAAGTTTCCTTGATATTTTGTTGAATTATTTCAATGGTATTTAGTAACAGTAATACACAGAACAAAATTCTTTGGAAAGCAATTACTGTTTTATTATTGAGCGACGACTCAACTAGGCTTCTCTTTTGTTGAATAAGCTTGTAGATTTTCCATTAAATTGAAACTGGCAGATTTTGTGTTGCAGATGTACATGTAATACATGATGTATCTCTCTTGGAAGTATTTTAAATCCGGTGATGTACATTAGTCATTTTGTCAAATGTTAAATCTGTTGTTCAGATTATTTTTACATTAATCATTATGTCAAATTTCAAAGTATTGAAAATATTACCCTCTGCACAAACACTTCCTTGCTCAAATTTAGATTGTATTAGTCTTAAAAATTTCATTATCAGATCTCGATCAAGTTTGCTTTGGTGTCTCTTATCTCTCATTTTAAATTCTCAACAAGTATTCAGTCACATAAAGTGCAATTATTAATGTAGTATTGTTTCATTTATTATGTAAATTTAATAAATATTATTGATAGAATTGAAGTCTAATGGGAGTTGCTGAATGTCAACATATTATTATGACTCAACTTGGCACTTGGCCTAATGTAGCTTAATTAGTCTAGAGTGTTATTTTGTCCACTCTGATTGCATATATTAATTATGTGTCATTGTGAATGTTTTTGACTATACATTAGTTTATTCTTTCTATATAGGACGAAGTTTCCCCTGTTTGCCGTTAAGATCAGTTTGACATAAGAACAGGGTCTTGCATTACACATAGATTGAATAAACTTACATGAAATATAAAATGAATTAATCACACTTTATATGTATAGAAATGCAGTAGAATTTAATTCAGATATTACTTTAGTTCAAACTTGATGAACCCACACATTGGAGTTGGACAGCGTTTTAATTACTGTTAATATTAATTTAATCAAATTAAATTAAGATATAAGTTTAGTTCAAACTTGATGACATCTCACATTGGAGCTTGACAGCATTTTAATTACAGTTTAATTAAAACACTGATAATTTACATGTTTAATATTAATTTGATTTATATGTATAAGTATAATATTAATTTCTTCCTAATAAACATCAGTACCATACAGGCAGTTATGGTTAATGGCAGGTCATACATGTATTAATGAAGTTATCTTCTATCATACATAATCTTACGGTTACAGAATAAATCAACTTTGACAGCTATATTTAAGGCTGATATTTACTTTACTTGATTTCTTAATAATAGATCACTGTTATTTGTAATAGTGTTTTCCTGGAAAAGTTCGCTCACTTGAGTTACCCAACTTTGTCACTTTGTATTTATTGACAATTTTTGTGACCTTTACAGTGTAGGATCGATGGCGACAGTGTTATGTTGTGTTCATAATATTGAATGCTTAAAAAAAAAGTAAAATACTTAGACACAGAAGTGCAATAGAAATTTTAAGTAAAATATTTAGACACAGAAGTGTGATAGAAATTATTTCCTATGAGTTGTTTTAAATGACAAAGCACACTACCTTATGCTTCCTTTATGACCCAGTGGTGTATTTTATGCTGTGTAATAAAAGCATATTAATAATGTTTACACTAATTCCAGAGTATTATTTACACTACAAATTGTAGTGTAAATATATAC